TCCTCCTTCTCACATATAAAGCCTTAAATGGCCAAGCTCCATCTGATATCAGAGATCTGATTGTTCCTGCATTACTTTTATACTTTCACTAGTTTTAAAAATTGAACTTTTACACTTTTACTGGAGTAAAAAGCTGAAGTTGATCCTCTTACTTCTATAAAAGTGTTTTAAACAGCAGTATTTATAGTGGAGGACTAAAGATGAATAGTTGAACCAGCTCTGTTAGCAGCTAAAGGTGAGAGAAGCTGTTTCCGTCCCGGTGAGGAGCTAACAGGTTCAAACACGCCGCTGTGACTGAAACCATGATCAGTATCTGTTTCACAGCATTTCCCACCAGAATCCATCAGCGGTTAAGATTCTGAGGAAAAATCCAGTTCCTGATCATTTCCGCTGTGCTGAGGTTCCATCCTGGAGCCACGGGGGGAAAACTTTACCTCCTGCCACCAAGCCGGACTCTCCCAGCTGCACGGCCACGCCGAACCCTCCCAGTTTGACCGGAGCAGAGTTCTCTTTGGTCGCCAGCAGGACGCAGTGAGGCTGAGGAGGAGAGCAGAGGGACAGAGGTGATGAGAGGGTTATGATCCATAGAAATATGACTAAAGATACACCCACGCATCAGCCACACAGAACACAACCGCTTTCTCTATCCTAGTGGGGACTTTCCTTTGACTTCTATTCATTAAATGCTCTAAGTTTTACCATCGCATCTCTAATGCAGACGAGACCAGCTGCTCCCCACTTTTACCTGAGTCCCCAAACTGTAGCATATTCCTGGCAAATGGTCCTCATATGGGAACAAAAACAATGACACACATACCATTTTGTATATCTATCCCTGTTAGGACTGATTAACCAGCACTGATAGTTTCAGCGCCATGGAAACGGACTAATATGGACCTCTGGGAGGGCTGTGCATCAGAGCCTAATCCTAATCCCAACCTTAGTCGTAACCCTAACCCCGCCCTGACCACCGCCCGTAACCCTGACAACCATAGGCCTCCTGAACATGGAGCTAATGGTCCAACCAGACCGTCTGTGGATGTGTGCTGACCTTTGACCTCCATCCATTCAGCTTCAGTCTCCCAGAAAACCTATGTGTGGACATGGGTCTGCCAGCTGAGCCCCTCCCTCTCACCACCGTCTAATTTTGGTGACACAAACTGCAGTAATCTGTAATCTGGGTGTCATTTCTGTTCTACATCCAGGCTGTAATCAGATCCCTGAGAGAAGCCGAGGCTCTGCCTGCTGAGTGACAGCAAGGGGAGTAGCCTGATTCAGTCTCTATTGTTGCTCAACATCACATCGTTCAGCGCTTCTCTCTGCGCTGCAGAGCGCGCGGCGGGTCGGAGATCATGAACAGGGTGGCAGCAGGAGGAAGAGCAGAACTGCGCTCATTTCCTTTGCTTTTTAGCTGTAGTTAAATGTGCAGCAACACAGGGACAAGATCAGAGTCTTTTATCGTGGATTATTGTGTCTACAGACTCAAAGACTGGATTAGTTTCATCTACAGACAGAGAGGAAGCTGCCTGATGTGCAGATCTCAGAGATAAGGTGAGTTCATTTTACTTTTCTGCAGTAAATTAACCCCCATTAGCCACAAAGAGTCAGAGAGGCTTCAGTGAGGAGGGGCTGCGGCCATAAAACCACAGCTGATGGTTGCTCAATTAATGCAACACAAATCAAGCAGGAAGTCAAAATGTGCTCAGAGCAGCAAATAGTGAAGAAGTGAGGAGAGACTGAAGTTGATCTGATCTGCAGGATGGAGAACCAGACCCTCAGCTCCACAAATAGCTTTGGGTGTGTGGATGATGAACTGCTCCAGACGCCGCTGGCGGCGCTCTACTCCGCCATCTTCATCCTGGGTCTCCCTGGCAACCTGCTGGCTCTCTGGGTGTTTCTCTGCGTTCACTCCAAGAAGAACTCCATGCGGGTGTTCCTCATTAACCTGGCCTTGGCGGACCTGCTGCTGATCGTCTGCCTGCCGTTTAGGATCCAGTACCACGTGTCTGGGAACCAGTGGAAGCTGGTGGGCTGGCTGTGTAAGCTGGTGGGCTACCTCTTCTACATGAACATGTACATCAGCATCACTCTGCTGGGGCTGATCAGCGTCGACCGCTACCTCAGGATCTACGGCAGCGTCAGGACGCGCAGTAAGCTGCAGTCCCCGCTGCGGAGCATGGTGGTCTGCGCCTTCGTTTGGTTGGTCTCCCTGGCTCTGATGATACCCGTGGTCGTTTATGAAGATTATGAGGAATCTACAGAAAAGTGAGTTTAAAATCCTCCTTCTCACATATAAAGCCTTAAATGGCCAAGCTCCATCTGATATCAGAGATCTGATTGTTCCTTATGTTCCTAAC